TGTCAACCATCTCTCCACAACTCTAACATTTAGCATTTACCACTGCTCTAATTTCATCATTCAAAACATCTTCAAATTACCTACATCATGCAACCTCATCCTCACTTGTCAGTTCCTTTATAATCAAGGTAAAAAGATATTTCAATGTTGACACATGACCTAACCCTGCACTAATTGGACTCTATTTTTTTGTCTCCTAGAGTTGTCTTGACCATGGTCACAGCTCCATCGTACAACACAGCAAAGAGGGCAAATTTATTTTTAATTATGATTACGCAGATTACAATATAAGAGACAGGACACCTAATCTCATTCATCAAATTTTCGGGCATCTACTATTACAGGATTACAATGGTTTTTTCTCATGACTTTGTTTTCATGTGTTCCATTATCTTATTCCTCTTGTTTGGCCCATTGATCTACATTTAATAATTTGAATTTATTGTCTTGCTTCTTTTGCATGCTTCTGAGTTCCAATCCTTTTTCTATTTCTAGAAAAGGGAAGGGTAAAAGCTGACTAACATGTTTTTGGCAGGACTCCACGCCACAGAATCTCATGGTAAATAGCAATAAAGAAAAGAGGTTGAAATTCTTTCTTGCAATGACAAATATACAATAACTAGTGAGTCAAATAATTACACCAAAACTTTTTTCATACCTCATTTGGATCAAAATAAGTTCTGACGAGGAGATGCTCAAGTCACAAGTATCTTTCAGGTTGTTCTTGCTTCATTACACCCATTACCTGAGTTTGTCTTAAGATAGCACGAGCAGTATCTAATTCTCAAAGTTCAATCATCTCCAGTACAATCTGCAAAATTTATAAGAAAGGAAAAATTATAACATGCCTAGAAGAAACATTACAAGAAAACTATTTCAGTGTCAATCCATTTAAATTAATATCCATGGAAGTAGAGCAAACTGTACCTGGCATAGGGATCAATGTGCTCATACTAACATTAAAGCTCAAACTAAGACACAACTCTGCAGCCCAAGTTGACACCAAATGAAAAATCCATACCCAGACAATACAAAATGGCATTGATAAAAAAAGGAAGAAAGATATCTGACCAGACTATGAAGAAGTACAAAAACACCAACTTCAGCTTATAGACAAAAAGTTCAATTCTCTTAGTCCCATTCATTCTCATGGAATAGGTATCTGATTAAATCCTATAGATTCAGATGTTAACATTTCTCACGCTATATTTCCACAAGCTGAACAGAGAGAAATCTTCCACACTACAACTGGTAAGAGTCCATTTTTTCTCCCATGACACATACAATTAAGTCTCTCACTGACCATAATCTTTTAATATGTTTGACTCTTCTTACATAATTTCCAATTTCTGTCTGATGCATCAGACATGCGAAGGGTACTATGGATTAAGACTAGAAAATGTTATTTAAGTGTTTAGGCATGTGTGTGGGTGTGCGTCCAAGGAGAGCAAGGGTATGACATTCACCCTTACATGGGAAGTTAATGCAATTTCGTACCCATTCGCAAGCTTCAAAGCCTTGAACCAAACGAGCCCTAAAGCTAAAGCCTTTTGAGTCTAGAGGGGCATGCCCATGGTGATACAAGAATCAGAATACTAAATAAATGAGATAATTAATAGTTAATTCAAGAATTGTGAAGTTAATGTCAAGAGTCCTTATTTGTCTTTGGAAACCACAACCTCTTTAAGTTCTCTTCTTTTGTTATTTCTAGAAGTTATTAAGTGCTCCATTTGAAGCCTATAAATAAGGTTATATGTTGGAAAGCAGCTCAGATTTGATTGAATGAAAGTTTGAGCGTTTGTTTAAGGCTAGGTGCCTTGTTATCTCTACTACCTTCCTTTCTCTCGTCTACTAAACACTTCTCTATTTCTCCGCTGTCTCTATAATTACTCCAATCCTAACCTTCTTTGTTCTCTAAAATTTCTACCTCTCAAATTTCTATCATCCTAAGCCTACCATAACTATACCCAAACACCCAACTCTGTGCTGTCCTGCATTGCCAAAGACTTCAGAATACCTCAAACTAATTTCTCCCCTCAAATAAACCTTAACTACTTTCCTCACCTCAAATATACCTACACTATACCTGGGGAACTTAAAACACTTTCCTATATCAAAATCTACTTATATTTTCTACAATTAAATCAAAAGCGCATGTTTGCTTTTTTCCTTGACTTTGAACCCTGATCACTGCAATCCGGTAACCATTATTGCCCTATCATGCATCTTATTAAGAGTTAGTGGTGGAAGTTCCTCATCTAGTTGTGCACATCAAACTTCACCCACTAACCCTGCAAGAATCGTACTAAATACAAGTAACACATGTCTTGAGAGTAGCTTATCAGTTGAATAGTATACAAAACAAGTAACATTGTTTATGCATCAGAGGAAGGAGCTATAAGCTGAATGGTATTGTAAATATATCAGAAAGTGAAAGGAATGATATTCGACTAGCAACAAACATAAAAATGGTAAGTATTAATATTATCACACACCTGCTCGTACAAATCCTCCAACTTATTCCTGGGAAGCTTAAGTTGGGCCACTTGAGGCAAAATTGCATCCCACCTTCCACTATTTATATCAGCAATAAATGTCTCAACGCTGTCGACAGTGTTCAAAGAAACCTGGCACTCACTCTGTAATGTTTGAAAGGTTTGGTGCAAGGAATTCTCTTTGCAAAATTGAAGCACGATCTTGATGACACTGAAAGGAAATTGAAAAAACAAACTTTCTCAGCACAATCGAAGAACACAGAGTAAACACGAAAAGCTCGAACAAAACATACTCTCGAGCTTCAATTTCTAAGGTCGACATCTTCTCTGTAACTAGAACGTCGAAGTGTTAGCTCAGAAAGAAACAGTGAGAGAACGATTAGGGTCTACTGTAACGTCTAGGACGCGAAAGGATAATATTGAAAGAGATGGAGAAGAGGATTCTTTGGTTTTTGGGGGGGTGTGAAGATTTCAGTGGGGAGTGTGGAGGAGAAGAAAGTTTGAAAGTGATAACTATTGGGCCTAGTCGACAGAGGGGTGGCGGGGAATTTAATTTGAAGGCCCAAAACTGCTTGTACCTTCCAACAAAGAAACCCACGCACCACAGTGATTAAACGGAAGCGAAGAGAGATTTTAAACGGAGGGGTTGAATTAGCATTTTTCTTCTGTTATATTGTTATTTTGCCCGAAGACATGTAGAATTGAAGCCAAACAAAAATTCGGTCATCTTGTGTTACAAACCCTGCTCCATGTTGCTCAAATTGGTCATGCTATTGACAGTATGAGAAATCAGCTGATGCGTAGTTTCTGACTATTTAACTTCTGTTACGTGAAGCATTGGCAGAATGATTGTGAGTAGCTCTTATTGGGCGATTTATTTCAGACAGCAAAGTTAAAAGGGATATGAAGAGGTGCCGAGTAGTTCATATGGATCTGTCAATTAAACTACTTAGTTTACCTGGTCATTGACATCTACCTGAATTGGGGTGGTTTCCATTTGCCCTAGGCCATGTTATCTTTTCTGGGGTGCTGATCATCCATACAATATTGCAGATACGTGACATGCTCTGGCAACATTAGGTTAATGTCACGTATGTTTGATGAGCGAAGGTGACATTTGATGCGTTCACTTTGTGGTGATGTTACTGCGTACTGTTAACCTCCAATGCAGCTGGGGCGATGAAAAATTGTAGTTACTCATCATCTTTTGGTCAACAAAAACTGACACTGGAAAGACAAAGGTGATGACGAGAGTCAAACTCTTATCGTGGCGAGGACTTAAGCTTTCTAACTTTCATAATATGTGCTTTTGACAAAGATGAGAGTCGAACTCTGACTAATAATCTTTTGCTTATAATGTATGTATTAAGTCCAAAAGTTTGGTAGAACCATTGGCAAGAGGGAGGTAATTAAAAGGGCTAGAGGCCTTGAAATCCTCTGGTGGCTGGAACAAGATTAGGCGGATTAGCTGGCCTGAAAACTGGAAAGGGTTTATGAGCCTTCTCACTCGCACATCTTGAAACCAATCTGCACCAAGAATGAAATGACAGGACCAAATGATATGAAGCTAAGTAGTTTATCCACGGGACTAAATTATATGCAATTTTTTTATATCCATAGGATATTCTTTCAATAAAATTTCAAAACTCATACATCATTAGTCGCCATCAAATAAAAGGACAAATGACATATTACCATACAAAACCCTATTTAAAAGAGGTTAGATGAGCCTAACTAGAAGAACGTAAATTCTCTTTTATTTATTCAGAAGCATAAAAGTATTTCCAACTCAGAAACTTGTTTTTCCGGACACAGATAAGGCTAAAGTCTAAAAATTTCTTAAGCATCGATGCTATTGGAACCGTCCAAACATCAATGCTTATGCATGCTTAAACCTTACCAATCGAACGGCTCCAAGCATTAACATGATTCAAGCACTAAACCTTACCACGTGGTGATATTAATCTACGTATTGTTTTGATAAATAAATATACATGCTATAACATGAGTAGACTGTCACGCTGAAAACTTACTCCTATACACTACTACGCATGCGCTTATAATAAGAGAAATTATATTCTTTCAGTTACCTTCTCCGTGACAAATTTTTTTTAATGTTTGTTCCTTCAAGCATATAAATCACACGGGTCCACATTGCCAAACTGTCTCATATCATCATACGAACAAAGATTCTCTTTGGCAGAACAAATTCCTAAAATCATATAGCCGGATAAATTATTCCTTCGCTTTTCCACATCTCATTTTCTTCTTCAAAATTAGTTTCTTGGTACCACTTTCTTCTTTCCCTGGAAGACACAAAAACCTTATTCCTTTTGATCGCTCACCATCTTCTCTAGCTACCACACACTAAAAATCCTTAAAAAATAGAAAAAAGGGAAGAGAGACAGAGACAGAGAGAGGAGACCCTACAGCTTTTTGGGAGTCTATGTATTCTTTTATCACTTAAAAACTAAGCAGGAACTTGTGACTGTAAAAGAACAAGTCATGGATAGAATTCCACCTCCTGGTGATAAAAAGGAAGGTTTATTTTCTTGCTGGGGACGTCTAAAGTTGAAGCTTCCATGGATAAGAGAACTCGGACGACAGGCAACCACAAGGCAGAGAAGTGTCGGAAATCAGGGCGGTTATCGGTATGATCGTGTGAGCTATGAAAAGAACTTTGATGATGGTTCTTGGGACAAAATGAACGAGGACTCTTCTCAACGAAGCTTCTCATCCAGATATGCTGCCCCTTCATTCAAATCACATGGAGATAAGTAATAAAGATTGGATTATACATTAGTGGCCATACCTGGTTGATATTTTATCTCCACTCTTAGTTTATGAACTTCTTCTACTTGGGGAAGTGAAGGAGATTAATCTGTTCATCTTCTGGTATTGTAACTATATATGTATAAATAATGGATGAATTTTTTGTTAAAGAAAATTTATAAAAAGAATTAAAGGTTTCCCCTTGGGAAAATTATTTTGGACATTTTGTATTAGGGATGAATGCAAGCTTGCAACAAATCTTTTGACTATTATTATCTTCATCTCTGTTGCTGCTGCTTGGTATTAGTGCTTCAATATTTATTTTTCTTTTCTGGGTACCCAAAAGGCAACCCAAAAAACAAGGGAACAAAAGCTCCAAAAGGAGTAACCAAACAGGAAAGGGAGAGCTTACTTAACAAGAAACAAATAAAGCCAGCCACTTGGGGATATTCAAAGTAGCAGCAGCAGAGGCATTGGCAGAAGAAGCTTTGAGACTCATGGGGGGCAAGAAGAATTTCCAAAAACCGTTGAGTTTTTTTGGTTTCTTTTTGCCTTCCAGATACAGTAGACAGAAACAATCCGATATGATTGCTAGACAAAATGATGTACAGAATATCATTGGCAGTTTAAGAGCCCTTTCTTGAGAGAGAGAGAGAGAGAGAGAGAGAGAGAGAGAGAGAGAGAGAGAGAGGTGAGTACAATAATCTTTTGTGACTAAAATCACATATATTATATATTATATCGGGACTGATCTTTTTCGCATCCTGTTTTGTCTAAGGGGGTATACTAATTATGATGGTCTGATGCATATGCTGATCTTATGAGGTTTTTGAGAAACGTCAACAAGCATGTTAACCTGTTTGGTTGGTCGTTGTCGGTTGAGTATGTTGATGAGGTTGTCGTTGTCGTTTGGGAAATGCATGCTGATCTCTTGATGGTTTTGGAATATGATAACAATAGTTCAAGGGATGTAGTCATTGGATCTAAGGTCTACTTGCTCAAGATAAATACTGATTATTCTACTAATAGGGTGGATAATGATGGAGAAGTGTTTTACAAGAAACATGGTGAGGGAAAGGTACAGTTTTTGAAAAAAAACGTTGGTTCATTTAAGCATTTAGATAACAAAAATTTATTTAACATGCAACGAAAGACTTTAGAGACGATCCTAGAGCTTAAAAACAAAAACTTTCGAAGGATCTTTGAAGGTTCAAGTGGTTGATGTGCTAAAGCTCAGAACTTTACAAGAATGAAAGAGGGAGATGAAGACAGACTCACCCTTGAAGCCAAAATTGAGTCCTACCAGAATATTCCACCAAGATTTGGTGATATTATAGAAGATATAAGGTAGAGAAACAAGGAAGTTAATTGTTGGAATGATTTCTCATATATAGCTGATGTAGCTATTTTCAAAAAATAATTATGCAATGTTTGACATGAGTAGATCAAAGGAATTAATGTCTAATTGTCAACAGAGCAAGATCCTAACTCAGAGGATGAGGATATATGTTAAGATCCTTCATTGAAGTGTAAAGATTTGCCTACTGGGGGAGACCCAATTGATCCGTTTGGCCTTGATTGATACTTGAATAGAGGAAATCATAACTGGTCTAATATACCTCTGCAAGATGGTACTCCCATCGGAGACACCAATCTTGGACCAGAGAAAGCAGAAGCCCTGGCGGCTAAGCGGTTTGGTGACATTTCTCAAGTTCATTTCCTTTGTCCAAACGCAAGATACGTGCTTCCTTACAAAATGTGATGAATGCAAGTGCCAGCAGTTTTGATTGAAATTGCAGAAGTAAAAGGATGTTTGAGTATTCAGACTATATAATTGGCTCCTTACAAAATGTGATGAATTCAAGTGCCTTTAATGTGTTCCAGATTGATGCTGCCCCTTCAGAACTTCAAGCTTACACAAAATACTGGTGTTGATGCTGGTTATTATAGGGCTTCAATGGTTTAACTAGTTTGCAGAATCCAGTCTTATTTTAGGATTTGAATTAACATTGTAACTGCTGTGTGTATTTTGATCAATGAACTTTGTTTATCTTGTTATGCAAGAATTTCCAACTGTGAACTTCACTACATAGATGAAACTTGATTGATATTTACAATGCCTTTCTTCCAATTAACATACTTAAAACTTAAAGCAAAAAACTCAAATGCTAAAGTAATTATAGGTTTTGAAATGAGATTTAGTACACAGGGCAACCATCAACAACTATACCTTTGGCTGTAGGACAAGTAGCCAGCTCACAGTGTTCACCATTTGTTCCCCACCAGGATATGCTTTTCTCATTCATGGTCAATGAGAAGTACAAAAGCACCCCCATGAAAGCCACTCCAGCATCTAAAGCAGCAGAAAGAACATAATTGTACCTCTGCCACCACTTCTTTCTGTATCTGAAAACAAAGAAGTTGAAAATTGCTCCAACCACAATCCAACAGTTGAAGTTCACAGTTGTAGCTGGTGGCATTACAGCTGTTGCTCCCAAAAGCACTGGGAGGTTGATCAGCTTGATCCATTTCTTACTTGGGAAAGCTTTGTGCAGCAACCACACCAGGAGGGGCCCCAAAGCACCTATTAGGAAGAACCAGTTGAGGGCTTTGTAGTTTCCGAGAGAGCCGAAAATTCTTCTAGGTCCAACCAGACCCCAGATTACAGAGGCATCAAAGAACACACGATCACCAGGACAAGTCCAAGGACTATTGGGAGGGAGCAATTGATCTTGACATATGTTTTCTATGGTAGACAACAGCCACCATGCTACCCCAAGATTGACTGTTCCCGCTATCAATGTTCCTATGCACTTTAATTTTGTGAAGCAGTTAAGAGCAAATTAGCAACACAATACAAATTGAAACGGGAATTTATTAGCACTCTAAAATAGTCATCTTACACTGCATATTTATATTTTTATTTTTATTTTGGAGTGCGAATAACAATTCCGACTGAAATTATTCAATTATGTCTAATTTTGACATTATATGTTTCATGTCCTAGTAATTAGAAAAGTCAAATTGACAAGAAGATATACCTGGACTATGAACATTGATATGGGAGGGATCTTCATGTAATGGCCTAGCTTGAAGTCATTGAGAAAGGAAATTGCCTGCGACATACTTATGTAGCCATAGGTTTTGAAGCACACATTGGCTATTGGTTTGCCAGGTAATATCAAGCCCATGATGTACTCTGTGATGACGTTTAGTCCTGGAGACTGACAAATAGAAATGCAAGGAACAGAAATTCTTAAAGATATACATTACATCTTAAGTTACCAAAGAAATGCAACAAGTTCCAATTCATTCATATTAAGTTTTCTCGTTTGACAGATTGTTCTGTCTTCAATTCATGGGTGGGTCCCAATGCTCTAGAGGCCACGTACAAGGTATACATAAAAATATAAAAAATTATATGACAACACTTAGTTAGGACCACAATTACGTGATTTGTGTCTTATCCGTGACAACTTATTCTAGCCACGAAAAACTTGTGACTTTTGCTAACACTCACAACAAATTGAACTAACATTATGGTTTTCTAGTAGTGAGTGCCTCTTGTGTAATATAGAGATAATTTTATTTCCCATCGAATTAATTGTATCATTTAGAGGTGGCGCATTATATGGTAACTTGGGATGTTACGAATAGAATGGTCAGTTGAGATTGTACAAATAGCTAGCAGCATCCAATTTCATGATGCAATGGCTTATGAGTTTGAGAGGGTACCTGATTTGTGGTCGCAGTTATAATGCTGATTGGAAGGGTGAAAACTAATGCAAGTCCAGCTGCAAAAATGAGTCCCCACCATGGCATTTGCACTTCATCTTTCATGAAAATGCACAGCGCCAGAGAGAGCACCAAAGACAACAAAAGCATAAGATGAAACCACCAGTTAGGTATGTCCTTGTATTTCTTCATCAACCTGGTGTGTATGTCTACCTTTCCACTGTGTGAAGCTCTTTGGTATTGCTTATATATCTCCCTGATGGAAGAGTGTCAAATACCAAAACTTGAACAATCACGATAAATTAAATAAACTGTGAGCGTCTTGTGCAGGGACAAGTTTAGTTTCGATGGTAGAAATAGCAACACTCAATTGATTTACCTTCCGTTAAAGAGGGCGACATGCGTGAGGGTCGATACAACGGCCGCAAAACCAATACCATAAGTCAAGGCAAAGAAAACACTCAAATTTATGCGCCCTTGTTTGTCATAAGAAGCCATATCAATTTCAAACTTGTCATTCACAATGGCCGAAACGTTATAAATCTGGCCACGGTGATCAAACAAGTGTGAAGAGAAGATTGGAAAGTTCTTGGCACTGTACAAATTGACGCCCCAATAGGCAATTGGCAGACCCACATACATAACAAGAAGATAGCCAGCCGCAACATTGACAATGGCAAAGAAGGGGCTGATCAGAGGGCTGCCAAGGTAGGAGGCTATAACGGTCCAATCGAGCGAAAATGCCCCGAGGCCCAGCCCGCGCATGCCCGACCCGATTTGTTGGGCCGTGACTGAGTTTGGGTACACCCAGCAAACCCATGAAATTGTTGACAGAGTTGGGAAGAGGTAGCCTGGGACGACGAACCAGGAGAAGCTGCAGATGAGGGCAATCAGAAAGAACTTCCCTCTTGACATTCGCTTGCTGTCTTTCTCATGCAGAGCCCTTCACATTGTAAACGAAAAATTAGAGGATTTGTTAATTAATTGTTCAAAAAATAAAATAAACGTGCATGCATGCATGAAATATTCATGGGTGGTTAAATGGGTTGTTTAATTAGAGCTATAAAATATTAAATAAATCAGTACTTCTTTTTTTCACAAATGATTATGACCTAATGAATCTTGTAGGAAAAAAAAACGTTTTGGCGCGTGGAAATATGAAATTAGAATGTGTTATTTTGAAGTAAAAAAAGGGGTAAAATTGTTATGGTCCTTTTATTTTTATTTTAAAATTAGTGATAATTGTATTCAATAATTGGGTACAAAGACCAAATATCCATAAAGGATTAATACAAAAATGAATGTACAATAACAACGAATGGTGAATTCATATATAAGAGGATATACCAGAGACATCACACAACTTATATCTCCACCAATAGCCTTAGAAGACCATATACATTTGAATGTAACAGTCACACACTTGAGCAAATAAGACATGAAATACATCGCCCAAAATTACAAATACAATACTACTAACTCCCACAAGTAGAGACTAAAACACAAATAAACAAAAAAGAAGAAGTTATTATTATCATATAATTTCGACAATTTACCATCCAACTGGAGCTAAAAAAAAAAAAAAAAAAAAAAAAAAAAAAAAAAGTCCTTTTTATGTTTCTTAGAAAATTATGAGAGGCAAAAAAATTGTTTATCTGACCGCAAAAACAAAGAATAAGTCAGCTATTTTATTTTCATTAACAAAAACAAAAACTTCTGTGAGGTTGAGAGTGTCCACTTTTGAAGTTATCCGTTACTCCCTAGTAACGTATAAGTAACGTATATTGTATAACCAAATTGGTCCTTAACCCTAAATTGGTGACGCTTGCATTATTGGAACGTCAAGGAAACAAAACAAAGTGGCTTAGCAAAATGACATGCTTATTTACCTAAACAAAGAGACTTGAACGAGACTGCTCGGCCACCACATCTCAGCCGGATCCACCACGTACTTTCGCAGAATTCCGGCCCACCCGTATCCCAACACCTGCACTTAACCACCACTAATTACCATCAATTATCTCAGTAATTATAAATTAGCACCGAATTAATTAACCATAATTACAGTTTACCTGCGTGGTAATAACAAGTATCCAACTGGCCCAAAATGAGATATTCCTATGATAAAACGCTTTTATTATGTTCACAATACTAATTGCATAAGCCGCCCCGCTTCCGAACCCGGCTCCTGCATTCGCGAATATGGATATCAGCACGTGCTCCTTCATGTTAAACGGACCCGGGTTGAGAGAAAACTCCCTCGACCCGACCCGAAACTTCTTTGTAGGCAGCGTCCTCGCCATGAACCGTCCGATCGGGAGCGTCGCCACCTGTACGGAGATCATCGAAATGACGAGCGGCTCCGTGCGATAGGCGAAGAAGGTGTTGAGGAAGGAGAGGAGGACGCATGAGAGGAGGCCCAGGGCCCACATCCGGAAGGTCCATACTGGAAGGGTCGGGTCGTCGTCGTTCGAGACCGTCAAGCGAACTTCCTCGACGGGTGAAGCGTCGTCGTCTGGGAGAGAGTGCATAGTGGGAGCGGACATGGCTGGCGCTAAGGGAGAGAGAGAGAGAGTGTGTGTGTGTGTGAGTGGCAGTGTCGCAGAGTGCAGAAGAGAAGAGTTTGTTGGGTTTTGGTTTTAAAAAAGAAAAAACGAAAACAAAAACAAAACAAAAAAACAAAAAAAAAGTTTTGTAAGTTTTAATTGATTAATTAGGTATTTATCTACTAATCGACAGCTTTGGTTAATCTTGAATTGTAAGAAATGGAAGTTTGGTTTAATTTGAGATACTAATTTTTTGTTTTTTTTTCCAAGCAATTAATTTGAGATTCAAATTTGATATTGGCTGGCATTATTATTACCATATGTTGAAAAAAATCCAAGATCATATTTGATTCGGGGTTGAGATTTATATGAATCATTAACTTTGTTTGCAGCTAATAATATTAGGAAGGGTTTTTCGAACAAGGAAAATAAATTGTCGGAATCCAAAATATATATAATATATGTAATATATGGGTTTTTA